GTGTGTGTGTCATCCTCTGTACCAAAGAGTTGTAACTAGTTCTGATAAACAGCAGCAACATTGCAAAACATTGCAGGGGGCATGGCGGTCATTCCCTAGCCATGCCAACGAAGCTATGGGACATGACTGGATGGGAAACTGGACGCGGTTTCCTGTACCTGCAAAAAGCTGGGCCCCTGTGCCAGCAAGATTAGAAAATGGCCCCTGTGCAAGATTAGATTGAAAGGCAGGTTTTAAGTTTTTCTGAATTGTGAAAAACATGTCAGTGTGCAACACATCGGATTGAATGAGTCTTCATGTTCGTACTTGTCAGTCCATGTACATGCCAGAGTGATTGCAGCAGTACATGAGTGATTGCAGCAGTTCAGACATGTTGGTGTGCAACTTGGATGGCAAAGAGCTCAGAGCAAACAACAATGTTGATGCTTCAGTTCGACTCGTTTCTATCTAATTTTTCCTCAGAGCAAAGGTTTTCTCATAATACAGTCTAAGAATGGATGAGAACGAGGAAAGAGAAGGAAATAGCTGCAGTGGCCAACTCATTGGACCCATTGGTCTGCTCAAGTGTGTGTGTGTGTGTGTAGGAAGTTTCTGAAGTGTGTTCCCAGTTATTCACACAGTGTAGTAGCGATTGTGGAAGCAAATTTCGGCACGGCCATCCGTAATTGAATAGTTAGCTGATTCGCTAATACCTGGTATTGGCGGCCCTGTCCATCTTGTCCGCAACAAAATTGTTTCTACACATAGCGAAACTGCCTCAAGACCCATAAGTGTCGAATGGTATTTCAGTGGTCTGTCAACGTACACTGTTCCGAGGTCCGTCCCAGCAGTCTATCAAGGCTCATCTCCAAAAGAGGTTATTGAGCAGTATTTGTTGTTTATTTCCGAGTCGCAGCCAGGCCGAAGGCACCCAAAGCTCAAGGACATTTTTCATCGCTTCCTGCATCTTCACGCAATCTACCTCGACAGCTTCTTTTGCACTCGTCAGTTGTCAGGATTGATAGCGGCGGAATTGACAAGCAGCAGCAGCCGGAGACGTAGCATACGTAGCCACTTGCGGTTCTCTGGCTTTGGGAGCTGTATGGGGCTGTGGAGCCGAGGCTCAAGCGAGCAGCCAAGCTGGCGGCCATGGCCAGACTGGGAAAGCAAAGAGGAGGCCCTGAAGCCCTGACTTGAAGACGCGAGAAGAGCAAAACAGGGGTCACAGCCCTTGGGCCTTAGCATGGGTGGGGTGGGGGCAAATAAAGGCTGGGTTTTTTCATGCTTGCCGCCACCGGCCGTGCAGGCGTGGCTTGGCAGCCCATGGGCTAAAGCTTGAGAGACAAGCTCACGTTCCACGATTCAGCATACGCTTCCAGCAGCAGTTTGGACTTGCTGCAAAGGTGCTTCAACCGTCCTGAGTCATCAGTCTCATGATTCCTTGTAGCCATGTGGCGTTTGGCATCATCTGTGCTGCTCCTGGGCGCCTGCGTGGAAGTTGTGCAAGACGATGGGTTGCGGGCCGAGCTCGGGCATCTCTGGAACATGGTGGTTGTCAATCAGCAGTCCCGCAATGTTTCCCAGGCAAGTTAGATCCAGTGTTGCTTCCAAGTACGACGAAGAACGTTCAAGTCTAAGGAAAAAGCGTCGAGACCAGCGTTTGCACTAGGAACCATTCAAGAAGAGTTCCCGGCTCTGTCTCTGTGTCTCCTCTGTGTGTGTGTGTGTGTGTTTGTGTCACCGTTGCAGGGCGAGGCCCCCGTCGTTCGTCGAGTATGTCAATTTGGTGTAAGCGCGGCCACCTTCGACATGGCCGATTGGATGCTGAGCTTTGCAGATCCACCGCTGGAGGAGTACTTGCGAAAACTTGCGTGTTACGAGACAGTGTTTGACAGGCCTCATTGTCTGGTCATTGAAGCAAGTTAAAAAGGTACATGTGAATTCTATCGGTGAGGGATGTACTGAAAGTCATACCGAGTCATACCTCAATTAACAAGAGTTCTAGAAGAGTTGCTAAAGAATTCATATTATCAGTGTGCCCTTGTCCTCAAGGGCATCTGCCTAACACCGTGCTGCAGGAGCTGGAAATCACAGATGTAGAGGCCATGGGAGACGAGATGTTTCTCTCCCTGCATATCAATGAACGATGATGAAACAACTTCGGCACCCTCCTAGTAATCAGCATTCCCCCCAACAATTGATGGTAATGTGTATTGTAGGGGTGTTCCAAAGGTTTGGAAACGGTTTGGCCTTGCTCAGGTTGGTCCTGGCCTCCGAGCTGCAGCGCCGCTTCGGGGCCCGCGTGCGCATCACTCCGGGACGCTGGCAAAGGTCTCCTGGGCCAGCAGAGGAGGCATCTGGGAGCCCTGAACCGCAAAAACTACACCAATCCGCGCGCGGGAGACGCGGGCAGAAGGGGCGCATAAAAAACCAACACTAATTCCCTCCCTTCATGACTTCGCTTCACCGGTCTGGAATAAAGGAAAAGTATTCGTCAGGCAAAGGAGCAAGCAACTAGGACAAAATACATACATTAAGATACATTAGATACACGATGCCTGAACAAGCAAGAATCGGCAAAAGCAAAGGCGTGAGTGAGAAACACGTTACCGGCAGAAAAAGAGTAAGGAACAAGAACGGCAGCAGTCCTTTCTCCATCTTGCAATCACGCCACCAAGGCAAACTTCAGCAAGAGAGTGACCAGGGAAAAGCCCGGTACAGTACGCACACATGCTTTCGCCCCACCCTTCCTGGAACACATCGAGCAAAGGGAATATCTTCATGAAACCCACCTCTTCTTCCACTTGTGGTTCCAGGAAGACAACTGCAACAGGACACTCTAGGTCAATATCAGACCGTTGTAAGGATTAGGTGGTTCAAGGGGAAGAGCACGGTGACGCACCGAAATTCCGGTAGGCAGCATGTTCTAGCTGCTAGAGCTTCTGGTGAGTGCTCCTGTCTTTATGTGTCCACTGACAAGGCCTTTTTCCTGATGTCCTGATGGCACCTCTTGTTCTGGAAGTTGTCCTTGTCTACTTTGTTGGACCCTCTTTAATAGGTAGGGCCCCCCCCCCCTCTCCCCCCCCCTCCCCCCTCCAACCCA